TCGAACTTTGACAACATTTATCAAAGTTTATAATTATTTTGTAGCTACAATTTATAAAATGTTCAACTTTTACAGCTAAAATAGATATAAAATATTAAAATGTATAAACAATTTATTAAATTTAAAAAAAATTAAAAACGGGGTTGTAAGCCCCGTGGATCTGAGATGCTTCAATAAATTTAACCCCCCCCCCCCTTTCGGAATTTGAAATCTTTGTGCGCCTGTGCACACGTTATAGACACAGTGGCGTAGCTAGGATTTTCTGAAGGGGGGTGTTAATTATAAACATTAAATATTATATATGATACGTACAAACTAAAACTTTTATTTTAATTAATTAATTATGTATACATAATGTCTGTATGGTATTATCAATAGATAATAATGAAAAAAAAATAATATATTATAAAATAAAATCCGTTCGTCGTTTTTGATTGAATGACAATTTTTGTATTACTTCTTCTACTATCTTAAGGGGGGTTCAGTGGTTCACACTACACCGTGTCGTGTGAACCCGCCTTTAGTCCGTGCTATACGTCCACTTTACGTTACGCGACCTGTTAAGTGGTCGCCACGGAAGCGTGGTTATCACATAGCAGTACCCGTCGTCGAAAGCGTATATTATCGCGATACCGCAATCGCGATATTGTTAACCTGTATACCTAGGTATATATTATGTAATTAGTATTGTGCATTATTTTATATTTCATATTGTATTTACGATTTAGTATTTACCTATGTTCCTATTTTATTATAATATATAATAATGTATATTGTAATATATATGTAATAATAATGTAATATATGATACGGCTCAAGGGGGGTGTCATATCCACCAAACACCCCCCTTGTATACGCCACTGTAATAGACATAATAAACCTATGCTTATAATATTTTTCGGTTTAAAATTTCTAAATACCTAGTCTAAAACTTTGGATATTTAACTTTTTATAATATTACGTCTGGTATGAATTATTCATCGAGTACTTTTTTTTCCATTTTTATGAAAAATTATTTTATTTTGTTCAAACCCCTTATTATTAGTGAAAAATAGTTTTCTATCTCGAGACTGATCAGTTATGCTCGCGTCGTATACATCGATACGTCATTTGCTTTTTTTCAAAAAAAAAAAAAAAGGCCAATAACTTTTTTCTGCAGCCCGGTGAATTTCCTAAAACTTTGTCCCCGGACCGCCAACACACGTTACCCGGTCACCGCCTAGGTACTTGCTATCTGGCACAGGACTTTTAAGTTTAAAAGAAATAAATATTTAATAAATAAATATTTCACGAGAAATGCGCACTGCTTTTTGATAGATCATTGTATATATAGCCCGGGGATTTCGACTGTAGGACTCGAAAGTTTGACGACTTTCGAAACATTAAATAATGACCTAAAAATTGTAAGAATATTAAATTCATTGTAATAGGTACCTACGAATTTGAGATTGTTGTCATTATTTTTTTTTAATTAAGTAAAATGTTTACAATTATTGATACAATTTAACAAAATTAAAATATAATTCTATCTTTATGAAAAAATGTATTAATAGTAATATTAATTTTGTTGTTTAAAAGATGCAAATATTTTATGAAATCAGTAGGTAGTCTTAAAATGTAATCAAAATTATTGATGTTGTAAGTTTATTTTAATTATGAATTTCATGATAAATCGTAGGTAAACGAAAAAAAGTTTTTTATCATTCAGTTAGTGGAAATTGATTGAAAAATTACCCGTAATTACAAATTATGATGTTAAAAATGTCAAAAAATACGGCGGAGTACGATTGCGCGCGTTTTACCTTTTTAGGTATACGATTGCGCGCAGTGCCCGAATAACAAAAGACAACATTTTAATTACTCAAAGGCGTACGATTGCGCGTGAAATTGGGTGCGACGTTGCCAAATGTATTACGTAAATAATAAAAATACAAAAAGTTAATAATATAAAAAAAATGTTATTTAAAAAAAAAATTAAAAAATTAACGTAAATAATAAAAAATAAAATAATACAAAATAAAGAAATTTAATAATTGAAAAAATATAATACTCGTAAATCAATATTTATATTACATTTTAAACCCCCGATACCTATTTCCAACTATGGCCAAATACTTTAGTAAATTTTCTGGTGTTTTATTGTTTACATAATGTTTGTGTTCATTTTTCAAATTTTCAATTTTCCTTGATTCTTCATTCGATTTTGGTTTTATTATACCTTTGGAAATGGTTAATAATTTGGTAACTGTTTCTGCCTGAGGTTCCATAAGGGTAGCTATAACGACAAATATTGGTGGATGAGCACTATTAAACTGTGCATTATATGTACTATGGAAACTTTCAGCCCCGTTTGTAGTCCTAAAAATAAATAATATGATATTATAGTTGACACATTTTTTTTTAAAACTATTATTAGAACCGAACACAACTGATAGTTAATTGATATAGTCACATCATGCACGATTATAGTATAGGTATATTCGTACATGTATGGACATTTACAATAAAGATAATATTTTTGATACATAATAATATAACCAATTCATTCTTAGTGATGGGAAGTTTGTCTGATATCGGCAAAAATAAGTAATAAATAATCTACTATAATCACAGATATAAAATACTAGATAGCTAACTTGTCTAAATTAGGGTAATCGATGTTGAAGTTAGCCACCATATGCGTGTGGGTCAATGTTTACATAACTATCTTATCAATACTGTATGATAACATGATATTATTCGCACAGAATAAATTTTTTTTATAAAATATTAAAAAAATATAAAAAATATATACTCCTATTGCAATTGTTTTTAATGAAAACACATAATATTATCCTTATTCAATTTTTTCATCGTCAGATATTAAAGTATTTTGACCATCAGATTGTTATCATGTCGTATTGATAAGACAATTATGTAAACATTGACCTACACGCATATGGCGGATAACTTCAATGTTCGATGCCTTGTTAGCTATCTAGTATTTTATATCTGTGACTATAATCTACTATGGTATCCTACGGATTTACCATGGACCTATATATTTGGCAACGTTGCTTAAAAGTTAAAATAATATAGCGCGCGCAATCGTACGCTTAAAAAGGTACCGCTGATAAGGACCGCGCGCAATCGTATCGCGCCCAAAAAATAGTAAATACAAAATAATAATTGGGTAGGAACCTACCATGGTTGAAATGTACAAGGTTATTGCACATATAACCCTTTCAATCAAATATTTTATGATAAAAACAAAAATGGCAGGGGGCCATTAAGTATGTATGAGCGAAATTTGATGATAAAAAAAATTGATATTTGCGATACCCCTTTGCACAGCCATTTTGTTACTGTTGATAACAATCCAAGTCAATATGCAATAAATTTTATTTTTCAACCATGGTACCTACTAAAATAACTACTCTGAACTGCTTGAGCCTTGAAGTGTATATTATCCTCAGTTCATCGGATGTGCCTAAAGGTATCAGTTTTTTTTTTTTACAATACAATTAAATTACATTATGAAGGTAATAAGTAGGTATGTAGGTATTTAAGGTAGGTCCACTTCCATCAATGAGATAACATTTTCATAGAGGATTCATTTTCCACCAAAAAAAACAGTACTCTCCGTTTTCCCCCACATATTTTTTGGGACTAGAATCATATCTATTTTCTTACAAAATGATTTATTTTATTTGTCTTCTTAGGTACCTTTTCATTATTTTAAAACTGTTCAAGACACTGGTCTTAAGTTTAATAACAGGGGTATATTATTTCAAACTAGTGACAATATGAGACGGTGTCTCCACTCAAAATTGTCCTTCTTGAATTCAAATTTAACAGGAATATTAGACCGTTAGAGTGAACTCAATGATGTAGTATACATGCAACGCAAGGACTTCCCCAGGTTTAATAGCCAGTTTATCAAAATTAAATAAACTTTCTAAATATTGTACATGTCTTAAAGATGTCCAAATAATTTATTTAATTTAAAATACTACATAATTGGGTGAACAAACAAATAATATAATTTCTTTAAATAATATGTGTACATATTTAATTATTTGACAAAATCTTATTTTTCAATATATTATGAAATATCATATTTAAATTGATAATTGTTAAAGAGAATTATTAAGAGAATTTGCTTAAGAGGACGCTACACCCGCATGTGTTGTCTCCGTCTTACAAACGCGTAACATAGCAAATTACGTCCACGGAAAACAAACGAATCGGCATCAAAAAGTGGTTTTAGAGTAAAAATACCTATAATAAAACTTAAAGAGAACAATATTTTGGAGGGAACCTCATCGGCGTTTTTAAAAATATTAACTATTAAAAAAGTTGTGGTTATTTAAAAAAATGAGTTTTTGTGCCTTCAATATCTAGCTGTGTATTTAGATTAATACAAAACCCCGATGAGGTTCCCTCCGAAATATTGTTCTCTTTAAGTTTTATTATAGGTATTTTTACTCTAAAACCACTTTTTGATGCCGATTCGTTTGTTTTCCGTGGACGTAATTTGCTATGTTACGCGTTTGTAAGACGGAGACAACACATGCGGGTGTGGCGTCCTCTTAATAGATTTAAGACGAGTGTATTTCTAAAAGTATTCAATATTTCTCATTTGTAATGCTATTAATTTACACAAATCTGTTTATCACTTTTTAGGACTATGATAGTATAATATTATTAATATTAGTCACTAAAGAGAATACCTAACTTTTATAATGATTAAACCACTATTTTTCATAAAATAAATCAAGATCACAACATAAATAATAAAAAAAGACAACAAGTCTAAATACATAAGATACAATAATCATATTATAATACAGTTGCACACAATTCTGTATAATATAGTTAATTAGGAAAAAATTAATTTATTATATAACTATAAATTAAGGGAAAATATTTAATAGTTAAAAACACATAACTAGACTAGACATGACTAGAATAAACATTAAAAGTCTAAAAATGTCGTTTTCATTTTAACAAAACGAGTATTACATTCCAAACTGTGTATTATTAGCTTGACTGTTATTGGGCATGAAATTATTTTCAGCAGCTAAAAGCGCGGTAAGGGTGGAATGTGTGTTTGCCAATCCTGTGTTATTGTTTGGCGATGAATGTGGAATTTCATTGTGTTGTGGTAATCTTTCACCATATTCGAGCATATTTAACGCTTCAGCAAGTGTTGTTGATGTCCCTAATTATTCCAAACATAAAATGACATATTTGAAATAGTTAGATTTAATATTAATGTTTTCAACTAAATTATAATTTATGTCATCATTGTAATTTTATAAATTTACCATAATTAAATTATTATATTCCATAAAAATATTACTACAAGAATACAGGATGTAACAGAAAGACCTGATAGATGAAATAACTTTTGCACTTATCAATATTTTTAAATTTTTTTTATATTTATAATTTATATTCACTTGCATTACAGGTAAAATATAAAAAAAAATTATTTTTATTTTTTAATACTGAAAATAAAAAAATTAATACTTTTTTGATTAAAATATTATTTATGGAAATTTGCTAACGTGATTATATTTCTTAAGTTATCTACTAATTACATAATTTTAACAAATTTTGTTAAACACTTAAATAGCACAATTTTTTTTTTTTTTTTTGTAAGGTCTCTTGTTACACCCTGTATGAACTTCAACGTAATGGTGTGAGGAAAAATTATAAAAGTATGTTTTTGTAGTATGGCACTATAAAGGTGTATAACTTGGATAATAAAAAAGGCATAGTAACATTGTCTTGAAAGATTTGAGGAGTAGTGCAGTAGAAGGAATGAATGATGTTATGCGTGGATAGGATAGAACAACGGACAAAACAATAATGAACACAGACGGATAGGTACTTAAAAAAATAAGTATCAACAATACATATTGAGGCATGAACTAGTTTACAGAAAAATTGATGGCAAGAGACAAGGACGGCTGAGAATATATTAAAATCACAATATTTTAATAAACAAATGATATTCAACACAGAATCATCTAGTTACATGGAGTTGAAGAGACTAGCTAGCAACAGAAAATAGTGTTAAGGGTATGGAAGACTGAAAAACTAACTTCAGCCTATAATATATATATAAATATTAAGGTCGATGAAAAAAATTTTAATTAATTAATATTACATAATAAAATACTATACAGAATAATATTTTAACATGTTCACTGCGGATGACGCCAAATGGCATCATTTTACATAGTTCACATATGCTGAATGACACTAATTGGCATCATGTACCTTGTTATTTAATAGACTATAATTTGGTCAGCGTTATGAATTATGATTGAACTTTTGGTTTTTTGTCAGAGTCTTCTATAAGCATTGTTTCATAATCAAGTGAACGGTTTCACTGATATTTTAATTTTTCAATTTTTAGCAATTTTTTTTTTAAAACTCAAATTCTTCCAGCGACACGACAAGTATACGAAAATATGATCAGCAGTGAATGTTAAGTCACTCGCGTGGGCATTTAGTCTACATATTTTTTTTACAAAGGTGTGTTTATTTGTACTGAGCTGTTTTCTTTGGTATTTTTTACCTACTACCAATGCATATTATGTTGTATCATTGCTAATATAACGTGACCACATAAATACTACATAACTTAATGCCGTATTATTGGAATTCGTTCATAAAGGAACATTATTATTTTTAATATTCAATCTTTTTTTCCAATTTTGTAGAAAAAAAAGATTGTAAAATAATAATAATAATACCTGAGATGATGATACTACTTGATTCTGCATGGGATTGAGTGATTGAAGAATTTGTATTTTCGTTCAAAGTTATACTGCACACCTACAACATAATAATTGTATGTCATAAAAGTATATACAAATATCATAAGCAGTGGCGCCGAACCTTTTTTAAACCACTGGGGTAAACCTTGTTTAAGGGCACCCACCTACCTACCTTTTATACATAAAAGCAGTCATTCATGACTCACCCACCCCCCCATCAACTTAAAATTTTCTGGGGTATTTACCCCACTGGCCATATGTGTTTGGCGCCACTGATCATAAGTCAATATCCATGAATTAGTTTAAAATAATACATAGGTGTAATTTTATACTCATACAGGTTGCTCTTCAATTTCGCCATTTTCAGTAATAATAATTTGTTGAGGAGACTGTAATTCAGGAGGTTTATTGAGAATCATTGTGGATCTTACTTTGTTCAATATAAACTCTGGTAATTCAAAACCTTTGAGTTCATGAGGATTATTTCTGAAAATTATTATAATCATTAAAATATCTAGTTAAAATGGAATCACTTATTAAAAAATAAAATCACAAAAATGTAAAAGTATGTATTGTTTAAGTGTTTTAGTAGCAAGTAAGATATGTTAATTATTATAGAAATTATTTCTAAGAATCATTAAGTTTTTTTAAGTAGATCTTTTAAAATTGAGTACATTAATTGTGTACAAACATATTTTATTTTATTTATTTTATAGGTACATTACTTAAATGTGTTGGGTGGTTAATAACTTTGTATTCATCATTTTTAAACATCTCTGAATAAAAATAAAAATAATTACTTCTGATTCACAGTACTCAATATTGATTGCACATCGTCCAATAACAGTATTGAAGTTGCATTTACAGATGTAGGTGGTGGTAAAACAAACATTTTTTGCTTCATCAGCCAATCTCGATCTTCCATATCAATGGTATATTGAAATAGTTCTGGATGTTTATTGCCCATACGACCTCCTCTCTGTAAAGTAAAAACAAATTACTTAAATTAGTTGAATTAAAAATAGTATTAAATTCAATGGTAAAAATATGTAATTTGATAAAAAAATTCATAACAATAATACAATTTACCTTGTTAGCAGCTCTTGTAGCCAACACAAATAATGTTTGAGAATGAATTTTCACTGGGTCCCAAGTGGACTGAAATCTATGAAATTTTACCAAAGGTGTCTGAGATGATGTTTGTTCAATTGTAGGAGAAAGATTATTTTCAGCCTCTTGAACAGGTGGCTCTTTACGTTTCAGTAGAGATCTATTCTGTAAATAAAAGTTATTGAGGATCAGTAATGTTTAGTAGTATTAATTTTTGACTATGCCAATAGCAAATTGTTTAATTACTTTGGAATGTTGTTTTGCAAACCGCGATTCAATTAACATGTCTGTAGTTTGTGCTGTATTAAATGGTGAGTTACTGCCAGACAACGGTGGATTTGAATACATTAACTTTGCCTCATCTAACATTGTTCGACATACTTCTCTGACATGATCTTCAGTTACACAATTTGAACCCAAATTATTTTTAACATTGTCAATAGCCAAGCCAAAATATGACTGAAAAAGTTATTATCATAATCATTGTTATGAAAATCAATATACCAGTGGTTAATACTTACAGTCAAATATTTTTTAATAACATTATCAATATCTTTATTAATTGAATTCTGTAAATTTTGTCGCAACAGATCTAAAGATTTTGCAGCGTTTACCAAATTCTTTGCACGCATCTTGGCCGCTTTTGTAGTAGCTTTATCATTACCATTAGCTACATCAATTATATTTGCAAGTGTCACTTGGCGCATATTGAACGTACTCTTCTAGAAAAAAAGAATAATAAAAACTTATGAATTAGATGTTATGTTAGATAGCTAGGCAAAATCAATGGACACGTACCCATGGAACAAAATTTTCACTGGTAATCACTTCTAAATCAAATACTGGAGCTTGCCGAACTAGGGGTACAGGCTTAGACGACCTGTGAAAATTGTTTGGCTGTTGGGTCACCATTTGTTGTAATTGCTGGTCATCGTTTAAGTGTTTTATGGGGAGTTTATGGACAACCATTGTATAACAACAACGGAGTGTGCGGAATCGCTAAAACGCGTATAAACTAAAAAAAAATCATCGAACCGACAATTATTACAAACATTGTTATACCTATAGCATCAGAAATCAGAATTCAGAAAATTTGTCAATATCATGACAAATAAGATCTTATTTTTAAAAAAAATAATCGACATTACATAATATTAATTTAATCTGAAGGTTCTTGGGACTCCACTACTACTACCACGATTAAAGATAGTATAAGCTATAAGATAGTAAAAGATACTATCTTTAATCGTAGGTTCCAGTTAAAATATCGATTTTATGTTTGTTTTTATTTTATTTTTGTTTATCAAAACAGAAGAATATCGATAGTGAGTAGTATTAATTGATAAATCGACGATGTTTTTTTATAAAATTTACAATATAATATGATTATTAATTTTAATACTTCAGATGTCTATTATTAATAATTGTATTCACAAATCAGATTAACATACAGTGCTCCACCACAAAGAGACAGCCCAGGTATGAAACTATGAACTACAAAAATTTGTCATTATTATTTACATCAGTTATATTCCTGGAGAAAAAACGTGCACGGACGCGATAACTATTATCAATTTATCACACATTTCGCATTCTCGCCTATTATCAATATTATCATTTTATGGTGCGTGTGTGTGTTGTGTAAATTTGTGTTTTGTGTTCTGTCTTCAATCTGTACTTCCGATTTCCGTTTTCGGCAACTCTGTTGTTCACCGGTCTTTGCTCTTTGAAATTGTGCGTCTGAGTTCGAAAATTTAAGTTCGACAAATATTGAACGGTCTATTAGAAAAAATTCTGATTTTCCCTGTCACCTCACTCATCGATTCTAAATGGACAGCTCACGTGCAGTTACAACGGTGAGGTATGAAGACTATGTCGAGTATTTTCTGTTCGTTCGGTCGGATGACAGCGAAGAGGATGCCGAAGAACTGGTGAAACACATTAACCACTTGAACACTAAGGCATTGGAGTTGGTAGATCGGCTGTCCGAACAGTATATATGGCACAAGGACAAGTTCAATTTGATACCACGGTTTTGCCCCTCAGCAGAACTGAGACAGTCGTTCTCCGATACTTCGGACGGTAATACCTATAATACCTGTAATATCACACCTTAATTTGACTAATATTTGTCCATTAGAACCCATTTTTAACACCACCAACCACCACCCCCACCCCTCCGTATCATGCCCAACCATGGACAACCCACAATTGTACCACAAAACAGACAACAATTCATCTAGCTAATTATAGTTATTCCGTGATTGTATGATGGTTCTGATTTGCTTTTATTGTTTTTTAGAAGTATTGCCGCCACATTTGTATGGCGTAACCCACTACGGTGATAACATTGAAGATGAATGGTTTATTGTGTACTTGCTGAAAGAGATCACAAAGGAATATCCTGAACTTGTCGCTCGGTATGTGCATTTTAATTTGTTGTTTATTCAATATTTTACATTCCAATGTTTAGTGTTATAGATTCTGATGGAGAATTTCTACTTATAGAAGCTGCAGAGTGTTTGCCCAATTGGGCAAATCCCGATAACTGTGATCAGAGGGTAATTCTATTTTTGTTTAAGATAAAAGTACATAATGTTATCTATCTTAATTCGTTAATTGTCTTAAAAGGTCTATATAAGTGATGGTGATGTTCATATTATCCCATTAGTTAGTGCAAATAGTAAAAAATCAATTACTGTTTCTCAAGCATTGGAACAGATTACCAAATATCCTACTGCCACTATAGCTACACAAGAAGTCAATTCTGCGATATCATCGCGCTTGCACGGGTAAAAGGATACAAACTAAACTAAATGCGCTTTAAATAATATTAATTTTCTTTTTAACTTACAGGTATCCTGGTAAAATCAAAGAAAATCTCCATTGCTGCCATGCTTATATACCAGTAGGTGTAGCTTACTTATTGAAACACCAACCTAGTCTAATAGCACCGGCTGTTATAGCATTTTGTCATAGGGATATGTTGGATGTTAAAGCATGCCAAACAATGAAGTAATTAGTTTTGTATTTAAAAATCTATGGCAATTGTTAATATTTTTACTTTTTTGGTTTTAGACATTTTCCTCCCAAAGAAAGAGTAATGCGTACAGTGACTATGACCAAATGTTTGTATGCTATGCTTATAAAACAAAAATGTGTTCCTGAAAAGAGAACTGGTTGGGATTTAGTTGAAACAACAGACCCTCGATACAAAGCACAAATTACAGGAATAAGAATAGTAAGTATGATAAATTTTATTTTTACATAAATAATATAAATCAATTGGAAAATATGTACCTGTTTATATGAGGGATTAATTTATTATATTATAGTCATAAATAAAATCTTAACTAAACTTATAGTTTGTCAGTTTTTATATTAGAGTGAATTGACCTATTATCAAACTTTTAGGTAACAACATTATCTGTGTTCTCTCGTTGGATTTTAACGATATTTTAATTTTTAAGTGAGTTATGGGTATGTAAGTATTCGTATCCTAAAATGTTCATAACTCACTTAAAAATTAAAATATTGTAAAAAACCAACGAGAGAACACAGATAATGTTGATACCTAAAAGTTTGGTAATAGGTCGATTCACTCTAATATCAAAAATGACAATACCCTATTGAAACTAGCAAACGAAAATTTCGAAGAAAATTTGGTATGTTGTACGTGGGTAAGACGGAGACAACACATCCGGGTGAGACGTCCTCTTAACACTTAGAAAAGTGTCTTGGTACAACTTTGTCACACTGTATGGTGGAAGCATAGGAAACTAATGTATTCTTACATTTCTTATATAATAATAAATATGTTTTGTATTTATGTATAATTTTATGATTATTTTTTGTAAAGGCTTGCGGATTTGAAATATTAGTCAGCCAAGCAAAAACCACTGTCAAAGACGATACACCTGTAGATTTGACCTATGACAAACGTTGGCATCATTACAAATCTTCTTTGGCCGAAAAAGGATATTTTAAAGTAACAATTAATATTATTTTATTAGCTTATTTAACTCATCCAACTCCACTATAATTTTGAAATTAATTAATTAAAATATGTATCCAAATAAGATTCCAATATTTTTGTTTCAATTTTTTTTAGTTGATCCTTTAAAATAAATGGTCAGTTTGACCATTGATTCTAAGATATTTTCTCATAAATATAAATATTTTAATATGTTTTTTCTTGAAAGAAATTAGAGTTAACAAACAAATATTTGTTTGAATTAAATTAATTTGTAAATATAATTATTGATTATAGATTAGGGCAAGACCTATAAGATTATTAAATTAAGTCAAAATATTAACAAAAAAAAAATTATATGACAAGTCAACAATTTTTATATAAAAAAAAAAAAATTTGCTAAAAGTTATTTTTGCAACAGATGGAGTAATAAAGAATTTTGTTAAAAAAAAAAAAAGTTATTTTGTACTACCAGAAATATCTTATATAGTTATAATTTAATATAATATTATATAACAGACTTATAGTCTGTCATAGAATAATAGAATATGTATTATACGTGATTAAACTGTTAATACATTTATTTACTAAAATAATATTTTTTTAAACTATTATTAAATAATGCTCTAATAATTATCTGACAATAAATAACAATTGTTATAATTTACTATTAATATAATGAACAGAAAATAATAAAATCTTTTATTGTTTATTTTTTAAAATATATTTTAATATTTATATATGTCTGACTGCATTTTGTGTAACTGTGTAAGTGTGACGTAATAACATTCATTTGGGTTTTAGGTTTAAAGTCTATTGAGAATTTGAGTCTGTTGATTTTATCATAAAGTTTATAGCAGTGGTTTTCAACCTTTTTGGGTTTACGGCTCTTCCAATTTTTAAAACAATGTTAACGACTTCCATACAAATAATGATAATAATAAAATAAACAAATTTACATTATGTATTGCTGAAGGGGCTCGATTGATAATAACCTACACACACATAATACCGGGAGCCACGATGCACAGGTTGAAAATCCCTGGTCTATAGTATTTTGGTATACACATTTTCATATTTCAAAAAAACTGGCCATATTTAGATAAATTAAGTATTTTAAAATAACAGCTTTTAAATTCAATAAACCATACACTTGCAACATACATCAATCCTGGTTTTTAAATTTATTATTTATGAGCCTTTACATATAAAATATTAACATTATTATTAATCTACCAAATAATGTAATAATTAATATTAATAATATTCAAGAAAGAAAAATGTTAAGTACTTGGTACGTCATACATTCAACATCCTATCGTGTCTTGATTCCAATTAGTATGTTTGAAATTATATTTAATTTTGTCCTATTTAGTATTTAGTACCATTTATTGAAAATTATTCCTATGATTATATTATTACACTTCATTTTTGTGTTTATAATATTTATGAAATAACACGACATTACCCAAAGTAAAATCGTATTTTATGAATAAATTCAACAAAATATTATTGTTTGTCAGTTAGATTAGAAATCAAAAAGTTGTAAGTTTATATATTTGTATATGTTTATTACAGAATTTATACGAAGGTTCAAATGGATACAAATTATTAGAAGATCAAGCTAAACAGTATTATTTATCAAATGTAGATGAATATTTATCATCTCCATCAATTAGTCAAAGAATTAAAAATATTTTAGATAGTGTTACTGAACAAGAATTAGTTCAGCTGAAAAGCGATGTCTCAGATTTAGAACCAGCTGATGATGAAACGTGGTTAGATGTATCACCATCTGATTTAGATCGTATTCTTGAACAGAAGTTTGGATTGAAAAATTCTGAACAATCTTCAGCATCAAATTTTGCTTCCTCTTTTACTGACAAGATTAGAAGCTTTTTGAACCAAGCATCTGATATTAATGGAGCAGATTTTTCTAAAAATCATCTTAGGCAAGTGTAGATTATGATTAAGTGGAATATTCATTATTGCCCAT